CTTATTTTTTTATTTATTTCTGCTTTTAAATAGGCATGTAGCCCACGTTATCTCAAACTTATTGTGTAGCCATGGCTGGTATGTGACTGATTGTCCTTTTTGTCATAGTCCGAGTGCTGGAATGACACCCACACTGAGCTCCAGCAAAGTCCCTTTGTTGTTGTTGTTGTTTTGTTTATTTTTGAGACAGGGTTTCTCTGTGTAGCACTGGCTGTCCTGGAACTCGCTCTGTAGACCAGGCTGGTCTCGAACTCATAGAGATCGGCCTGCCTCTGCCTCCTGAGTGCTGGGATCATAAAGGCGTGCGCCACCACTGCCTGGCTCCAGCATATCACTTATATATGCTTTATATAAGTAAACACTTTTGAGCTGCTTTTATATACATTAGCCACAGTTAAGCCCCACCATCATCTCACCACTCAAGATTTGACAATGTGGATCTAGTGAAATTCCTCATTTAAGAAGAATCTCAACTGTCCACAGGGAACAACCACTGATTATAAGTGAAGCTATCACCCAGGGTTACAGAAGACAGAGTCCTGTGAATGACAGGAGCACCTTCATTACACTCTGGCTGTCTGGACTTCAACACACTGCTCTACAGAGGCACACTGCTCTTTCCTTCCTTCCTTTTTTTTTCTTTTTTTTAAATTTTGTGAGGTTATCCCTTAAAATGAAGTAGACTATTGCGCCAATCCAACTGATATACTTAAAACTTACATACAGGCGTGGGCATGCACATGCGAGTCTGTGTGTGTGGAGGCCACAGGTAGATGTTGGGCATCTTCCCCTAATGCCTTCCACTTTTGAGACGGGGGTTTCTTAGCGATTCCCTAGCTCGTTTCTGCCCCCCCCCCTCAAGTACCTTGCTTTTAGGTGGGTTCTGGGGATCTGAACTCAGGTCTCTTGTGTGCAGAACAAGCGCTTTACCAGCTGAGCCCTTTCTTTCCCCAGTCCCTACTTTAATTGGGGCAGTTGCTACTTTTATAAAAATGTGAACATAGAAACTTAGCCCCAGGTATTTAAAACAAACCACTGATCTGTCCCTGGAGGTCCGTTCGGCGTTTCCCAGGTTTTACATAAGAGATTCCAACAACTAACAGACCTTTCTAGATGCACTCTATCTATGGTGCTAGTATGTCCCACTTCGAGGGGACAAGTGGGACTCGGGAATGAAGAGGAAACAAGGACTGTTTAAAGGGAGCCTGTGTTTGTCTCAATTCTTCCACCTGGCTACTCAGGGACTGACCCCGAGGACAGAAGACAGGAACTTCCCTCTGCCCACCTACTGTCTAATGGGAGGGACCCAGTAACAGGGTCGGGAAAACCATTAAGGGCTCTAGAAGGTATGGTATTTCTTTCAGACAACGGCTTGAAAGCCTTAAGTTGGCTTTCAAGTTAGACTTAACCACTGAGCCAAGAATATCTTTTTATTTTCCAAGAAAAGATGTTTAGGGACCCCTCCTCCATTGTTGTGGTTTTAATCAAGTATGTAAAATGGTGTCTTCATTGATCAATTCACACAAGTTTCTTTAACAAATAGATGGTTGCTTTTTAATTGAATGTGGACAATCTGAGATGTGAGTTAATCTTGGCAAATGTTGTCTTAAATATTCTAGATATCTTCTTCTTACACCAGGTCATTTTGAGAAGTTACAGTATGCTCAAATAATATTCGCTACTAAAATGTAGTATGGACACCTTTTGAAAACGACAGCTGGCTCCCTACATTCCTACACTCATCCCGATGCCTGCATTGAGAACTGAGTCATGCCTGGCCAGCAAGGACGAGCAGAAGTAAATGCCACAGATGTCCAGAGGGACCGTCCACAGTGAACACTTACTAAAATTCTTTAAGTAAGTTTCTTAAAGTAAGTTTCACAGTCTCATCTAAGGGAATAGGCTAAGCTTCTTGCTCAAATTAACTCTATTAGCCAAAGCATTCAAGTAAAACTTTCATAGGCCTGGATATACACTTTGTGTTTTATTCTTCCAAGAGATACACGTAGAATTAAGTATGAACGGGAACAAAAGCCACAGCTTTTGTTACACAGCCTGATGGTGTGAACGTGCCAAGCTGCTGCTGACTTTTCTGATAACACCTTACTCCCATGTCCCCTGAGGGTCTTTTCTGATAACCCGACTCCCAGGTCCCCCGAGAATCTTTTCTGATAACCCCTGACTCCCAGGTCCCCTGAGGACCGTTTTCTAGAAGGTGACAGGAAGATGGAGGATTATCGAGAGTCCATAGCTGAGGTCGGGGGAAGCAGTGTTAGTAGGTGCAGTGTCAGTCACGGAAGGCTGTTAAGACTGGAGTCTGGGGCCTTACGGTACCTCTGCAGACGACACGGGACAGTCTGAGCACTCGGCTGCTTTACAAGGAGTTGACAGTTTGCTGTTTGTCAACCACGGTTTACCGTAATTGCGTGTTAAAGGGTGGAGAATCTGCGTGGAACAATGGCAAATCAAAGGTGAGGGACAGCAGGTAAAAAACAAACCCACGGGGAAAGAGGGGTTCACAGCGGAGTCACGCTACACAGGCAATGAGGATAAGAACGGACAGAGCTGACGACAAGTCAGACATAGCAAATAAAAAAAAAAAAAGGAGAGAATGAAGCTTTTCAACAGAAAGTTCCATCTGAAAGATGACACCTGAGGCCCTAGACAGGCAACCCTGTAGTACAGACAACTGCTTCATGGGGCACTGGGCAAAGCATAATAATAATGATAATAATAATAATAATAATAATAATAATAATAATAATAATAATAAAAAGCATGGCGAGGAGAGATAGAAATGGATGTGGCTGGTCCTACAGATTCCAGAGTGGTAAAGCACCTGACAGTATGCTGCAGTATGAGTGCCTTGGGAGCAGAGAGGGCCCGGCCCAGAGTCCTACCTTGGGTGTGCTGGCGGCAGCGGGCACCTGTGGGGAGGCTGCCTGGCCAGCGTGGCTGGACATGGAAGTGGATCTGTTGGGTGAAGCCCCTCGGGATGAAGGTCGCGATCTGCGGCCTCGTGGCCGGAAGGCAGCCATGCCCTGACTGGCACCCTCTGCTAGGATGAACTTCTCACGGAGCTCCATGTTGGTCCTTCCTTTAGCTGGATCACACATGTCCACAAAATGCACAAAAAAAAAAAAAAAAAAAAAAAAAAAAAAAAGAAGAAGAAGAAAACACTCAGTCTTTGTGGGAGGTCAGGGGGGGTGGGGGGTGGGAGCACCCGACACCAGAGAGCACGCTGAGAATTTCGAGGACATCTTTTTGCCATGCCAACTCCAACTCAGCATAACAAGAAGTCAAATGCATTCCTTCACAATGCATTCCTCTCGGATACAGGGCGGCATGGAGATGGGCAGGGGTGTGCTTTCTCTACCACTAGACACCAGCAAGAATAGCCAGTGTGAGACAAAGTCGGCATGAAAATGGAAAGCTCATGCTCCTGGTAATCCACCAGCTACTGATGCCCACGCACTCGGTCATCCTCACACCACACTGAGGAGACAAGTCAGGAAGGCAGGGGCTGTGTCTTTTGCATGTATTGCTGAGGTCCGGAGACTGCCAGTATTTAACACTGGGATTAAACCATTACACAAAATCGGAGATGGCTTGTTAGTCATGAAGATAACATAAAAACTTCCAGAATTTTCATTGAAGTGAGGAGACTAGTAGTTTAATTTTAGGCCTTAAAAAAAAATAAAAATAAAAACCACAAAAAACCCAAACTGTTTTACTGACATGCAGAACAAACACCAGACCCAGGAATCCACGAGGCAATCAGTGATGGAGCACTCATACAAACACATATGCACATGGAGAACGCTCCACAGGGACCCGATGGGCAACGTGTTAGCATGTGCTTGATCACTTGTATAAATAACACTTGCATTTGCGACATACTGGGAGTGTGTCACATTTTCAGAATTTAAGATTAGAAGCCCCAGCTCGCTGGATGTAAGTTAAGCCATACACGTGAATGAAGCATATTATAGGAAAACAAATCATGAAAGCAAGAATGTAAAGGTAGGAAAGAGAAAAGGAAGAGGGGAGAGCCAAAGAGGGGTTGCCAACCTATAGTAGGCTGAGTAGTAGTAATTGAAGAGTTTGATTCCGAACGCAACATTTTACTCCCATGATGATGAACTAGAAAAAATGACACAGGATACCAATCACATTCAAGAATACTGTTAGCAGAGAAAACAAAGTACAGCAGTCGGATACGCAAAGAGTGCTCAGATCCAGCCTTTAGCACACATTTAGGACAGAAGCTGCATCGGGAGAAGAAGCCCTGCAAGGTCCGACTCCACCGGGAGGAAGCAGCTGCAAAGCTTGGCCGGTCGAGCTAGCTTGTCCTCTGCGATCCGCTGAATGGTGTGCATCTGCATCGTCGTTTCCCAGTTACAGCTGCGTTTACCTTCGGCTGCATTCTTTTCAGAGTACAGCCGTGCACCGCAGACAGACAGTTTGCTTAACAGCAGGCTTTAAGGGAGCTGGGAAATTCCTATCACCTGTTTGATGTTGTAGCCATCTCAAGGGCATGGTCTTTGTGGCGAGAACAAGCCGACTGCAATGCCAGTCAGAGAAAACCGTGACACGGTTACAGATAGAACACAGCGCTCCAACAGTGCTAACAGTGTCTGTTACCTGTTTGCGCGTTTACCGTATCATGTTTACTTAATAGAGCACGTTTCTTCTACCCGTAAGAAGTTTCTGCAGAACAGCACGCTGTGTCAGACCAGCGGCAGCCCGCCCTATGCATCTTATAATGGCTGCATTTCTTGGCTGCATAATTTTACCCTGCGCTCGATTTAGACTCACCTTGCTTTCTTCATCATGGCTTTTGGAGCAACAGGTAATATACCAAACACACACACACACACCTCAGATACTCTTGGTGTGTAGGACATTATTAATACACACACACACACACACACACACACACACACACACACACACACACACACACCAGATACCCTTGGTGTGTAGGACATTACACCAGTTAGGTTTGAATTAAGTACACTTCATATCTGTACCATATTGAAGATGCCTGACAACACGTTGCTGAGAACCCGTCCTCAGTGTTAAGAAAGCATGACAGATGGAACAGGAGAACCTTGCTGTACTCCTCTTTAAGCTGCATCTTTAGCTACCAAAGAGCAGGGTTGCTGTGTGGCTGCACAACAGTTCACGCTGGCCTTGCTGGACATGCCTGTTGACACTGATGTATCAGTATCCAGACACCAGCATTGAAAGGAGGACTTCCTGCTTGGCTTTCCACTGGTAGCCTAACAGGCAAAGCTGGAACAGATGTTTTTAAAGGACTGTAATAAGCACACAGATTGAGACAAATCATCAACCCTATTGTTTTCTTGTTTAAGCCAGTAAATAACAAATGCTTACTGAGTAGATGGCACCTGATTAGAAGCTGTAATCAAATATCCACATGATCAACTAAGAATTGAGTAACTGTAGGACATAAAAATAGGACTATTAGGGCTGGTGAGAGGGCTCAGTGGTTAAGAGCACTTACTGCTCTTGCGAAGGGCCTGGGTTTGGTTTCAGTACCCATGGGTAGTTCACAACCACCTGTAACTCCAGCTCTGGAGGATCTGTGGACTCCGGCGCACACACACACACACACACACACACACACACACACACACACACACACACACACACACAGTAAAAAATAATAGTGCAATCTTAAAAAGAGAAAATAGGAATATTAGAAGCTGAGTTAAAACTTCTGGGCTTGTAGAGGTGAAGAAAGCTACAATATAATATTTACATTTTCAACATTCTGTCATTCAACTTCGAAGAGTGTTCGCTTTTGTTTTTATGCACTTCTTTCCCCTTCTCTCCCCTCATTTCATAAAAACCTGACTTTTAAACGTTTACTCTCTATTAGTTTCAGACTTTATCATGTGAATTTTCTTTCAATGACAGACAGAAGTTTGCCTTGGTGAGTGGAAATGTTCATTTTGAAAATTGTAGACAGGAGGGTCATACACAGAAATTCTAGACTATATTTCCTACCTACCTGTCTCAAATTCATTCCATTAGTGGAAAGAAGAAGAAGAAGAAGAAGAGGAGGAGGAGGAGGAGGAGGAGGAGGAGGAGGAAGAGGAGGAGGAAGGGGAAGGGGAGGAGGAAGAAGAAGGAGGAGGAGGAGGGGGAAGGGGAAGGGGAGGGGGAAAGGGAAGGGGAGGAGGAAGAAGAAGGAGGAGGAGAAGGAGAAGGAGAAGGAGAAGGAGAAGGAGAAGGAACGAACATGTTTTATAGGCCCACGTGAAACATCAGCTGTGGGATTCTAGCTGGGCCCAGCATGCCTTCAGTGCGGGCACACTCGGCACTACTGTGCGTTCACGGTGCTGACACCTTGACAAAAGCGTCTCCTTACCCCTGCATGGATCATTTTTCACTAAGAACTCATCCAGAGCCATCCATCCACCTCCAACACGAACCATCACCGTACTTCGCAGGATCCGCACGAGTCGCAGCTGCTGGGAGTCTCCAAACTAGGCAGTGAAGAGAGAGAGCACCTCTGATTGTCAGTACCGACTCTGAGTGGGAGGGGGATGAGCAGCTTGCGGTGGCGTGAGCAACCAACGTAACTTAGTTCACAGTGATTCATTAGTGAGCTCTCAAAAGGGGTGTGTAATGATCTACATTAGACTGCCGCATGCCGATTTAGCTCAAAGGAAGCAGTTGGGAAAAAAAAAAAAGATCACAAAGGTTAATCAAGTATAATGTTGAAGCTTTGTTTTAAAGTTACAAATTATTTTTCTTTCTTATAATAGGAACAACACTCGCAAGGCAGGAACTGAAAAGATCCCTAGACATTAAGCACAGCCATGAACATAAGCACAGGTCCACTTGCTCGGGACTTACACAAAATAAGGTGTAAGGACTTCATCAAACTGATTTGGGAAAACTGCCTCTGAAGATAAAACGACTTTCCTGTGAGACCTGTGAGGAAACCTTAAGCTCCTCCGTTTTCCCTAGGACTTAACGACTAACGGACGTTCCATACTAAAATTTCTGGATCCCTAATGGTCTGGCAAACCAATTGGCTAGAGGTTGGATTAACATGCCACTTTATATATGACTGCAGCCTTAAAACAGGTACTGGCATACTGCTAAGACACAGCTCTCAAATCTACAAGGGCTTTCCTCAGAGCGGTTGGTACTGGTGGTGCTCCCTCAGCGAGGCGCCAATCATTTGGATGTGCGCGGAGTCTGCAAGTCTTGAACCAACACGAGGCCACAGGTAGTTCTGGTCATAGGCTTACTTGTTTTGAAAGTAAGAAATCATTCTGTACCTGGAAATCATTTCTAAGAGGCTCACATCCAACTGTGAAAACCACCACCCTGAGTCCTGAGCTTATCAACTCAGTGAGCGACACGGAGAACGAGCTGGCAGTTTGTGAGATGCCAACGGCTTCCTAGCAGAACTGCCCGGACCGTTCCCTGCGCCTACTACGGTACGTAGAAACACCCTGCTACTTCTCTATGATCTTTAACGCTGGATTTTGGGGTGAGAACCCTAACCAAAAGTCAGCCAGACTCCATTCAGAAACCTAAGCTCAGACGGGCCCAGAAGCGCACCAACAGGAACTCAGTCCTTCACAATCACATCTCTAGTCAGAGCTCTTCCTAAGTTTGATTTCTAAACACTGAAACTTACACATTCCTGTGGGTGAACTGCCTCTGAAACGTGAATTTGAAAATTGAAACCTGTCTTTGTATCGTTAGAGACAAAATCTGGTGCTGCGATTGGTAAGCAAGGGAAAAGAGGGGGTGAAGAAAATTACTCTTAAGGAACCAGATAATGGGCTCAGGCGAAGCTTGTTCAAGACCAGGCTCAAAATCAGACCCAAGGGAACAACTAAACATGCTTCATCAAATGGTATTTTGGTTCTATTAAATATGGTGACTTTGGTTGTTACTTTAACAAGGTATTCTCCAGCCAACTAACAGTGTCTCTAGAATTCCCCTAATTTTCTCAAGGCTAAACCATGAGACAAGAAAAACAGACCCACATTGCTTTGTATTTTCAGCACGTAAAATCTTTGAAGGTAAGAATTTCTCTTATTTTCTCCAAAAATAAAAGATATTACCCTACTTGTTGACTCAGGATATACCAAGCATGAAAAAGTAACATTTTATCTGTTATAACAAATAGGTATATTACTCTGATTTTTATCCTTGCATATTGTGCATATGTATTAAATTATCACACTGTACTCTTTCCATATATAAAAATATGTATATTATATAGATATTTAAAACTAGTATATAACAATTAAAGTATTTCTTGGGAAAATTCTATTCAAAGTAATGGTGTCATTTTACTCTACACTTTTGTTTTGGTTTTCCCTTTTCTTTTGTTTTTCGAGACAGGGTTTCTCTGGGTAGCTTTGGAGCCTGTCTTGGAGCCTTGTTCTGTAGACCAGGGTGGCCTTGAACTCACAGAAATCCGCCTGCCTCTGCCTCCCAAGTGCTGGGATTAAAGGCGTGTGCCACCACCGCCTGGCCTATTCTAAACTTTTGATTGAAATTTGCAACTTAAGATCTAGTGTGGCCAGAGAGGGAAGCAGCAAGCACAGGCCGACCTGGGGCTGCACCAGGGCCTCTGTGTATATTTTATAGCTTTCAGTTTAGTATTTTTATGGGACTTCTAAGTGTGTGGATGAGTGGGTCTCTGATTCCTGTACATTCTCTTGGGGCTCTTTTCCTCCTGTTGGGTTGCCATGCCCAACTCTGATATGATAGTTTTTTTTTTAACTTTATCTTATTATATTTTATTTTGTCATGTTTGGCTGTTTTCTCGTAGAAGCCTGTTGTTCTTTTCTGGTGAGAGACAGAAAGGGAGTGGATCTGGAGGGGGAGGTGGAGAGGAACTGGGAGGGGAAAGTGTAATCAGGATATACTGTATGAGAACAGAACCTATTCTCAATAAAAGGGGGGAAGAGACGTCATGTGACGTCCGATGGGGCAGTGGTCCCTACCTAACATAGTCTGTCCCTGACAGAAGAGTGCAGTAAAAAACATCTTCATCATGCGTCCATTAAAAATGTAATTTCTCCTGTGCGTAGTTTTAAAATCCCAATCATACTACAGCACCACTAAGCAATCCATGTTAACTGGGATGCCAACGTAAACATCTGGCTACGGCAGCACCAGACATGACCTGGCCCGCACCGGGCACTAGTAACTCGGGACAAGTTGGCTATGGGGAGCACGCATTATCACTTGTGGCTACTTTGTTGCCTTCCCGGGGTCACTGCTTGATGCTGCTGCTGGCCGTAGTATGGAGAATCAAGTTTGTGTTCCAGTGACCACTTGCACAGTCCTCTGTTAATGGTGTTGGGAAAAATGGGCCTTGAACACTGTGTGCGCAACACTGGTGCCAGCTCATCAGCTGCAGGTCATTATCTGGTCTGCTTAAGAGTAATCTCTTCATTCGAGACACAAAGCAATACAGGAGCCCCGGGCCAAGACTGCGCTGACAGGTACAGCACACCAACCAACACTGTAGTAGCTAGCAAGACAGCATGGAAGGACCAGCCATGGCAAGCTTGAATGGCTATGAATTCAAGATTCAAAAACTCATTGGGAACTCGAGATTCCACTGGTTTATACCTGATTTCCCAGGAAGAACTGATAAAAAAAAATGAAAAATGGAAGAAAGACACAATTAGTTCAACAGGAAACGTTCTATATGGCTCAAACACACACACACACACACACACACACACACACACACACACACACACAGACACACACAGTCTCTCTCTCACACCAACTCACCTTCAGTACACACATACAGACACACACAACCTGGACTTCTGGATACAGTATCTAGTTTAGAGATGTGCAGGTACCCTTTTGTTCTGATTTCAAACCAAACTTTTGTTGTTGTTGTTGTTTTTACAAGTTTATTGGAAAAATCTTAGAATTTCGAATCGAAGTTAAAAGTTTCAACAGGTGGATGGACATGTTTTACAAATGAAAGTTCACTGTGTATGTGAGCACCATGCTGTCTGTGTTAGGGAAACTCTGCACAGTTTCCTCCTAGCTGCTAATTAAAAGATGTTTCAAAGAAGAGAAAACCAAACCAAACCAAACCAAAGACAGAATGATAAAATCACATGGTTCTGTTTTGAAAGTGAGCCAAGTTCATTTAGATTTTGAATAGAAGCAAAAAAAAAAAAAAGCTACATAAATGGAAAAATGCTGCATCTTTTTCATATTTATAAAACATGTCTGTATTTTTAATTTCTAGACAAAAAGAAAACGTTAATTTCATGATTTTGGTTTGGAGAACCTATTATTTAGAAGCTTGACACTTAATCTAATCATCATGAAATAAGAAGTAATGTGGAACAGCCTGAATATATGACTTGAGTATTTACTTTTAGTCCTTTTTCTCCTTAGAAGTGATGTGTATGTGGGTGAGGTCACTCAGATGGTAAGGGCTCTGCCATCGAGCCTGAGGACCCCAGTCAGTCCCTAGAATGCATGCAGCGGAAGAGCTCTGTCTCCCACAAGATGTCCTCTGACCTCTACGTATGTTGTGGCATGTGCACACATACACACACACACACACACACAAATGTAAAAAAAGACTAAAGGTTATGTGCATGTCATAGATGTTAAAAATATGGCCTGCTATTCAAGTGCAAGCTATCTACATAACATACACAGTCTGTAAATTTGGAACTTAATATCACTGAAGATGAGAAAAACTGTGGAGTTTCATACACCGTGACATTCTGAGACGATGTGAAAACAATGTCAGTCTAATGGATGCACACTTCAACGTCTACTCTCGCGGGAGCTGAAGCAGTTGCCTGGCACACTCACCCTGTATTTGTTGTCGCCGATTTGTTCAACTTGGAATCGCTTTGCACATTTACACTTAGCTACTTGCCTCGTGACCTGTCCAAAGCAAAGGTGAAATAGTCCCTTTAATCTGAGCACGTCATAGTGAGACCCTCAGAAAGGCTGAACTGGTTGTATGGGTCACACCCACCCCCTGCAGCCCACCCGAGGACCGCTCCCACAGAGGGCAGATGAGGAGTACCTCATCTTCAATTTTGTCGGCGTCTGTGATGGGTTTGTACGCATCTTTGTTTGGATGCAGAGCTGCCACAAACTCATAGTAGTCGATGTATCCGTCACCATCTCTGTCAAAGATGTCTGCCACAGCACTCATCTCCAGGCGACTAGTAGGGAATTCTGAAATGGACCGAACCACACTGGTAAGGGAGTTTGTTAATTACACCTAAGACATATTTGACTGTGTGTTTTTATTCATAATGGGGCTTATTGGGGTGATAGAACAGTTAAAAAAAAGCCGCCCCATTTGCAGTATAATAAAAACACAATACAAATTCATCTTCGAGAAGGATGAGGGCTGCAGGGACACAGTGGTCAGTGGCACTTGCTGCTTCTGTACAATTGCCAAACAAGCTAACAGGGCACTCGTGTTCAATGAATGTAAACATCAGAATTATGAGCTAAAATGATAAAGAATTCAGTATTTGTTGATCTGCTACTGTATGCCAGGTAACACACAAAAAAACGTTTAGAATCAAATATTGCTAATATTTACTTATACTAATAACACAGCTTGAGGAGAGTGGAAGAACATTCTTGTGGCCATATAAAACAGTGACCTCCTAGCCAACCTAGAAGGCAAGGCTTTCTTAGCGACAGGCGTTCATTAGCATCACTAATCTTCAACTGTGGTTCTTTTCTGCACAAACAAATTCCTCTAGCTGTGGTCATCTGTCTTGGGACTTACTTGAGGAAAGGATTCCATCAATAAATTCCTGCCGCGTGATCTTTCCATCCTGGTCCTTATCGATTCTCCTGAAGAAGTCCATCACTCGAGATTTCTTATGATTCATCCACCTCATGTATTTTTTACGCCAGATATCAAAATCGAAGTTAGCAAATTCCCTCAGCTAAAAAAAAGCAAACGTTTTTTTTTCTTTTTTGCTGAGTCAGTGCTGTGCTCCATCTTAAAACTTTAGTCTGTACTCTTATTATAATTTTATACATGTACACAATGAAATACCATAGTATCAACTCCACATTCTCCCTTTCAACTCTCATAGGCTCCCCTAACACGACCCCTCCCAACTTCATTTCTTTCTTTCTTTCTTTTTTTAAAATAATATCCACTCAATCCGCTCAGTGATGCCTATGTGTGCATGGATGTGAGCATGAATTTCTATTTTCTATGAGCGAATAAAGCCACTGATGATGATCTATCTCCAGGTGATACATCTCTCTCCCATTTCAAAGAAAGCCATGGTCTTACAAATGGCTTTTTATTGCGTTTATTCTCTACGTCACTGATTTTTCTTTGCAAACACAATCTCTACACTGAAGACTGCTCATGCCACCTGTCATAGAAATGTGTGCCCAGAGTGCTGGTTAAGGTGCAGGCCTCGGCTGTCCTCCTGCCCTTTCACAACATAAAAAATAAAAACCTTCCACCACAGGGTACATGTTACCCCATTAGAAAGCCCTTCTTGGGGTTGGAGAGATGGCTCAGCGGTTAAGAGCACTGGTTGTTTTTTCAGAGGTCCTGAGTTCAATTCCCAGAACCTACAGGGTGGCTCATCATCATCTATAACTGTACTCTCATGGGATCAGATGACCTCTTCTGATGTGCAGACAGATGTACATGCAGACGAGGCATCCATATACATAAAATAATCAATCATGGAGATGAAGGCACGCGTCTCCCGACCTCCTCCAGCCGGTCCAAGGCGTCGTTGAGCTTCCTCCTCCTCTCCAGAGCCAGGAGCCACACCTGCTGCCACTTGCTCACCAGCAGGTTCACCCTGGGATTCTTCGTTTCGATCTGTGTCTGCGGTCCAGATGGATACAAGCCTGAGGCTGGGAAGCGTTTCCCTGTGAAAACAGACTCCAGTCAGGATGGCTCAGCGTCCAGTGTGCTGAGGACTCCAGTCCCAGCCAAGACTGACTACCGTGTACTGCACAGAAAATCCCAACCTAGTTATTTTTACCCATTAAGGATCACATTCCGATCTTATGCAATGTAGAAATGTGTCTTGATGGGGTCCCTCAGATATTGAGAATTCAGTAAATCTAATGTTTAAAACACTGTCATACTTAAATTCATGTCATTTCAATGACGAGGTGGCACAGTGAGATGCATGCTAGGGTAGGTGTCAGAAAAGGCACCCGCCCTTCTTAGAGAACAAGGCTGAGAAGTGGCTGTCCCCGGAATCAGAGTTGGATGCTTCACAAATGAGACGCCGCTTTTCCTAGACCCATTCTTCACTGAGTGTGTGTGGTTCCTCTCCTATGAACACACCCACGCTTACTGAGTTGACTTTCTCCTTTCTGGCTGTTTTTAAGTCTCCACAGCAATGCTCACAACCACATATCCCCCATCTAACTAAATGGCAAAATAGGGCCTAGAAAAATTACTGGGCTAAGATCGTATTGCATCCAGTCTCATATACACGAGGGTAACTACATGCTTGAAAGTCTGCAGCTGCTCCACATGCACCAGCTCACTCGGTCCAAAGAGGTTACAAAGCATCCCCATTTTGCAGATGAGGAAATCCTATTGAACACGAGGTAAATCGTTCAATATTAAGCCTCCCAGCTGGTTGTTGGTGGGGACAGCAAGGAGCCCCAAGTATTCCAGCTACACAGTCACCTGGTCTCCAGCTCTGCTCCCACTTAAAAACTAAGACACCATTCAAAAAGACACAAAGTGTTCAACGTAGACTGTGCTCTGTAACATTCTCGGAGATAACTGCTACCGTTTTGAATGCTGTTTTGTGGGCTAGGACTGGCTGTCAGTGGGCAGCCCCAGGAGAAGGAAGGTCGGATTCCATTCTTCACCCAGACCATGGTCAGTTTAGACTGCTCAGCTTTAATGCTATTTATACAACAGGAGGAAAGTGAACTAAGGATTTACATTCTTATAACTTTCCCCAATTTCTTCTCAAGTCTGCAAGGTATACTTTAAACAAAGTTAAGGAGAGACACCAGAGTACACCTTTTATTTCACTTAAAAAATTAGCTAAATACTTAAAGCCCACATTTTCCTTACGAAACCCTTTTAAGGTTAAGGACTCCTGAGGAGTCACCACTTTCTCTCGGATTTCAAATGATAATTCAAAAGGAAAAGGAACTGGCTTGTCCAGCCATCTAAGGGATTGCCCCGCTTACTTCCGGCCCGTCCCTTGTCCAAGACTGGGATGTGAGATTGCAGAGCGGAAGGGTCAGCTGCTCTCCTCTTGTAGGTCTTGGTAACTTTGTCGACGTCCGGCTGTTTTCTGGTCATTTCTTCCATGAAGGTCTGAAAGGAAAAAAATGACATCAATTAAATCAAGGCACAGATCATATCAGCATTATTAGCAAGGAACACAGGATGACAGGACCGTGCTGCCATTTTTAAAGGCTCATCACCATAAATGCCTAGAATAGTGAGTGCTTTTACTGATTTCCAAAGGATGCAAAAAACGTCCACCTGACCAAATTAAAAAAAAAAGCCAACTCCAATGAAAAACAAAACGGCCACTTTTCAGTTTGAAAACAAGGTATGCAAGCGGTTACAACTATCTGCACCAACTCGGTTTGAACTTCCAAGCTCCTCCACCAGGGACTTTGGTGAGCACCTTCCTGCTGTGGGACATTCCACCCACACAGTTTCAACACTGCAATAACTTTGCACACCGTGGCAGAAGGGACTTTAGAAGGGGCTGAGGTAATGAAGTTAACGCTGACTGCAGTCACATTGAAAGGGCTCACTGCACTCTCCTGCCTTTCCTCTTTGTGTCTCCCTGGCTTGTTATTACTGACTGGTCCCTACATGTGGGGTATGCGGCAAAGGCTGAGGACAGGCAGAGGCTGCTGGGAAAAGTGATGGGGAAAAGGTGAGGTAGACAGGTAAAGACGGAGGCAACATGCTCCTGAAATAGTTATCATGTTGGAAGACGGGCCACTGTGATGCCTCTGCCCACAGGGAACATTCACTGAGATATTTTTTGGACCACGTAACATTTTAAAATTTTATTTTTAGTTACGTGGATGAGTGTGTTGCTGCTTGTCACTATGCACAGCACCTGTGTGTAATGTCTGCAGTGGCCAGAGAGGGTACTGGAGTTTCTGAAACTGAATTTATAGGTGGTAGTTTGCTGTCCTGTGTTGTTCTGGGAACTGACGTTAGGCCCTCTCCCAGTGCTCTTCACCTCTGAGCCATTTTTCCAGCTCCAATAATTAAACAAACTATGAATCAGAGCTCATAAAAATGCCAGCATTTCAGAGTTTAAAATGAGTCAGGTAGATAGTCACCCTGGGGTAAATAGTCACCCTGAGGAAGAAAATGCATGCCCTTTTATGTAGGCTGCATCTGGCATATTCGTGACTGGTCATCTGAGGAAGCAGAGGAAATGAAAATATGAAACAATAAAGCAATTATCAGGCAGAGTTACAGGGATGGATGAGGATGCCCAAAGAGGGAGCGGAGTTAAAATACGGGAGCTGAGGATAAAATGGAGGAGAGAACTGAACTGACGGTTCAGTGGTGGCTCAGGAGCCACAGGAGGCAGAGGAGTACTTCACAAGAGCAAAGGAGAGGTCCAGAGGTCCTGGGGAGAGACGCGCTGCAGGCTGGGGGACATGCGGGAGCAGCGGCAGCAGCAGCAGCGTCCTGGAAGACACCCGAGGTGACAGCCGATGGGTAAAGATCAGGTTTCTTTACCTGGTGTTCCGCAATGAGGGTTTTCACTTCTTCAATTTCCTGTGGGAGGACTTCCTTATCTTTCTCACTGAGGGTAGTTTCTGCCCACTGCAACCACGCCAGCAAAGTTTCCAGCAATTCCTGCTTAGCAATGAGCCCGGCCAGGGCCCCCGCCAACCTCTGCTGATGCTGCTTCGCCCAGGCCAGCACCTGTTGGCAGAAGCACATGGTTCACTGAAGTCCTTCCAACTCGGGGACACAGGTTCACTAACATAAACACATAAGCTACGCCAATTTTAAATGTGAATCAGGATCACGCTGGGCTAGACCTATGAAGTTTTCTTCTACTCTAGACCCGGCGAGTGGACCACGGTCTAGCTCGAGGAAGCACCGGGACTCCTTTTAAGGGTGTTTGTCACCACCAGGACGCTAGTGATGTAGACAGCATCTGGGGTTACCCCTGCTTATTCTGTGCGCTTTGTCAAGTTTAACTAGTCCTTCTCTAAAGGACCAAGGGTGCTCATTGCAGGCAGCATTCAGAACACAGCAGAATCTAAAGCGCTAAGATCTTAAACAGGAATTCTATCCCCGATGTGTTCCTCAATTCGCTCACTCGAGACACTCCTCTGTGTGGCATCAGTCAGCAGACACGATGAAGAGGTGGGACAAAAGCCTATGGTGAACCAAGCACCTGCCTTTTAGGGTGGCAGGGCCCAGCTGCAGACGCCGGAGCGTTTGTAACCGAAGGCACCTTCAGGGGCTGGTGTGCAGAGGGCAGGCGACAGGGCGCTTTCCTGTGAAGGCCTTTCTTCCCACGGCTGTGGTGCGCCTCCACCGCGGAAGTTTCCCACTTCCCTGCCCCAACTCACAGCCGCCACCACTACCAGAGACGACGACGGGAGACACACTGACCTCTTCAAACCGGGCCTGGATGATTGTTATCCAGTGCTTAATGGTGGTGATGGAGTCAGGGTGGCAGATGGCCAGCAGAGCGTCACCCATGTCAGTGGCCTTATTCAGTTCGGTTCTTTTCTCTTCCAGTTTCTTCATGAACTCCTGCAGCAGAACAGATACTTCCATTAGCGGTTGGTACTTGCTGGGCACAAGGTGTCGGTGACATTCATTGACTGTCAGGGTTACAAACATGAGTAAGAGTTTCAATCTGGGTGAGGGATTTGGTGCTGGCTGGCTGTCGGCCCACAGTGATATACACTAGATTTCTAAATACTGAGCTCAATCTAAAGTTCACCGTAAGCCTGCCACCCTTTTCCTACTCTTACAGTCTGGCCTCACATGGAAACGGGGGACAATGCATTGCACCCCTCCAGGCAATGCCACGCAGGCCTGCATCATTCTCAACAGCAAGGCAATGTTTCCTTGCTGTACCCAGCTAACCCCTCCCTGAGGAAGGGCAGTCATCACAGTAAGAATCGGATGATGTGATGATACATGCTAGGCTAGAATGATGCACTTTCAACATGACCTGGAAAGGCAAGGTTATTAGGTGGTGCTGAAGAAAATCTTCCAAGTTAATCGGAAGTGCGGGCATCAATACTGCGCAGGGTGTGAGCAGTGCAGATTCCTGGCCGTCCCTGACAGTCCTGACAGTCAAAGGTTAGAACACGTCTGTTACGTGGACCACTCTCGGGAGGTTCGGCCAAGTTCCGAGCACAGCTGCAGAAACGAGCTCAGCTGGGCTTGATAACTCGATGGCTACAGTTTTTCCTGGTTAGTTGTTTAACACTATGAAATTAATGCTTTGAGTTTATAATTTAAATGCAGGTGAGTTCTTATAAACATTTTTATAAGGCTCTTGATTAAAAATGAGAAGTGGGCCCGGAGAGAGTGCTCAGTGAGCAGAGTGGGGGCTTCAAGCCTGAAGCCCTGAGTTCGAGCCCCAGAATCCACACGACAGAAGTTAAGAACAGACTCTTTCAAATTGTCTTCTGACCTCTGTAAGCACAGGGTGGTCCATGCAACACGCGAGATATAAATCAAGTCAATAAATACAATAAATTAAACCCCCAGCGTGGAAGATGCTTAAGAATAATATTCTAAGGCTTTAAGTGAGTTGCTTATTTTGGACTATAAATGCCAAAATTATTAATGTACAATTCTAGCGGGATGCTTTGTAAATGCCAAGCTGTTCATTAAGGAAGCTTCATTCATTCTTGAAATACACATAGAAGTGTGACAAAATGGACTAACTCTGGTCAGAATCCAAATGATCCTCTGGAAAAATCAATGTGCAGCCTAGAGAGAGAAAACAGAGTGCCTAATTCTACAATGACCCCTTTCTTTCAAAAGGGAATGGAAAAAGCCAGCTACCTACCTAGGTGTGTAGGTCTATGGACAGGTGCGTAAGCTGGGAGGATAGGGACACGTTCTCAAATGGACCAGATGGTCAATTTCTTCTCAGGAAGGAAAAAAATTCTTGCACTTGCTATGTGCAGTCATGGGCCTCTTCTCTTTATCTCCTTTATTTTCTCATGTTGTTTTACTCACCAACTGGAAATTACTCACTTTATGCTGATCAATGAGAGTCCGGAGAGCATCCTCATCATCCGGGAGAGCACCGTGGAAACGCAGCGTTTGCTCTGCTTCCGCCAGCCACTCCAGGAGGGCGTGGACCACAGAGTGAAATTCCTCTGCCTAACAGTTAACACATACACACACACACACAAA